TAACTCTTGCCTTTCAAATAAATCCTAAAAAAAAAAAGGAAACCAGGAAGCAGAAAACAACACCCATATCTCTACCACCCAGAAGCACCAACTCCTAAGATTTTGTCCTGTTTTCCCAGTCTTTTCATCAATGCAAATTCTGTTTTAAACAGCTACAGGAATACAAACCACAGATGTAGACAGAGTCCCCTCTGAGTACCACTCCTTGTCTCATTTCCTTCTCTCACTTCTCAGGTGCTAACTGGAGCACGAACTAGGAGATGTCCCATGAGTCCACTTTAATAATTTAATGCCTTGCTCTTTAGGTGTGGACCGCAGAGTAGCCCTGTTGGCACCACATGGGGGCTTGATAGAAAGCAGAATTTCAAGCTCCGCCCATGCCTACTGACTCTGAGCCCAGATTAACAAGATCTCCATACACGCTGCATGCTATGAGAAGCACTGCATTGTCATGTGTGTAGGCACTCATAAAACATGTACTGCATTCTTCTGTGTGTTACTTTATATATATATATATATGCTGTCACACACTGTACGTGTCATTCAACAACTTTTTTTGCTTAACAATAGGCTTCTGAGATCTAAAAATACTAACATTAATCTAATAATACTAAAAACACTAGTACATTCCCTAATAACCTTTTGAAGAAAATCCACATTTATGTTGTTGATTAAAAAAAACTGTTGTCACATTAATATGTTAGTAATACTGATTTTTTTTCAAACAGGTGTAACTGGAGATGGCCAGAGACACTTACTAGTCACTACTTAAACAAAAAAAAAAAAAAAATAAGCATCCACTGATTTCCTAGAGGCATCACAGTCACAGAGAGTGTATACTTCCTAAAGAAAAGCAATTATTGCTGATGGCTATAACACCGATTGTTACACACTTAGGAAAAAATAGGGAGTTTGCAAGTCCAGGAGTCTCAATGGCAATGGAAATGTTCAAAGCAAAGGAGTAAGGATACGTTTACATGAACAGGGCAGAGGTGGCGAATGAGGAGGGACAGTCAGCCCAACTTGGCTTGAGGTCCGTGGTCTTCACATTGTTAAGGAAACTCGCCAGTAAACATGTCCAGGCTTTGTTTTTTTGTGAGACATAAATTATTGCATATTTAAGAGGCCCTCTGTTCAAGTAGGTCTTCCCCAGACAGTGCAGTGTCTGACTTTATCATGAGTTTTATTAGCCAGGTGTAGCTCGAAGAATATGAGCTATGGTGGAGACTTAGAAGTTGAAGCAATTGCCGACGCCGCAGCTCACTAGGCTAATCCTCCACCTAGCGGCGCCGGCACACCGGGTTCTAGTCCCGGTCGGGGCGCTGGATTCTGTCCCGGTTGCCCCTCTTCCAGGACAGCTCTCTGCTGTGGCCCGGGAGTGCAGTGGAGGATGGCCCAAGTGCTTGGGCCCTGCACCCCCTGGGAGACCAGGATAAGTACCTGGCTCCTGCCTTCGGATCAGCGCGGTGCGCTGGCTGCAGCGTGCCAGACGCGGCGGCCATAGGAGGGTGAACCAACGGCAAAGGAAGACCTTTCTCTCTGTCTCTCTCTCTCACTGTCCACTCTGCATGTAAAAATAAATAAATAAATAAATAAATAGAAGTTGAAGCAATTGACAGAACTTAATAATATGGGAGCAATTTACTGGAAGAAGGAAGACATTTATCTTTCCCCACTGCTCTTCCATAAGACTGAAGCAAACGGTACTTCTACCCTTCCAATTTCTTGTTCCAAAGTCCTTGGGGACTTGGTTCCAGCCCCGCACAGGTACACAACATCAAACCAGGCCTAGCTTGGTGTTTCCCAGAATTTCAGGCTGCACCTGCATAGAGTGGACCCTGGTTCTTGTCCAACAATGTTAATACCCTCTAGCCAAAGACCACTACCAGCATAGCTGCCAATAACGAAGCTGAGTTTACCATTGCAGCTAGGAAGAGCACTGACTACGGGGACCCGAGAGCAGCTCAGTGAGACCGTGACAGAAAGAACCCACCGTAGGGTTTGGGGGATTCTTTTTTTTTTTTTTTAAAGATTTATTTATTTATTTGGAAAGCATAGTTACAGAGAGGCAGAGGCAGAGAGAGGTCTTCCATTCACTGGTTCACTCCCCAGATGGTCGCAATGGCCAGAGCTGGGTTGATCGGAAGCCAGGAGCCAGGAGCTTCTTCCAGGTCTCCCACATGGGTGCATGGACCCAAGCACTTGGGCTATCTTCCACCTGTTTCCCAGGTCATAGCAGAGAGCTGGGTCGGAATTGGAGCAGCCAGGTCTTGAGCCTGCGCTCATGTGGGCACTTCAGGCAGTGGCTTTACATGCTACGCCACAGCGCCGGCCCCAGGGTTTGGGGTGATTCTAACGAGACTTTAGATTGCGTGCTGTCAGTGAGCAGGGGAAACTATGATTGGATGTCTCGATCAATCTTATCTATAAAGGGTGGAGAAAAACACGAAGGTAAATCTGCAATCGGAACGCAAGTAGCTGTCACTCATTTTAGCCAAGAGACAGACATATTTGTTGATTGCACAATAATCTTGTAATTAGGATCTCAGCATGACGCTGTCTAATGCTGATGCTTTATGAGACTGTTTATGTCCAACGGAACAGCCTAGCCTAGCCATGAGCATCAGGCCAGCTTGTGACAGCATCCGAGCCCAGATGTGGGTCAAGCTGCCTCCAGGGTCTGAGAGACTGCTTTTGTTCTTTCTCAAACAGTTATTGGTGACTGCTTTGCTGCCGGCTTGTTTCTGTGACTCTAGGAGGGGGAGAAGCGCTGTCCTCAAACTTATTCAGCCTCTGCTCTGTACATCTTCAGCCTGCGCTCCTGCTTGGCCCTCGGGATGGTTGCCCCAAAACATGCGCGGGAGACTCAGATCTGTCCTCAGATCCCAGGGGGTGGTGCTCTCTGGTCTATTTGTCTTCAAGGCTCCCATCTGGTTTTTCTTTTACTTTTTTTTTTTTTTTAACCGTTTGCCTTCTCTGTAGAAAGGCATTGCTCTGTTCTTATCTACAGACATTTCCATCTTGCCTCTGAGTGTTCTTACTATTCCATGCCCTTGTCTGCAGCTGCAGGGATGGGTTTTACTGTGAGTTCAGGTTGCCATCCTGATCTGGCTGAGAGTCTCGCGTGCCTCCTGCTAGGCTGTCACTTCCTGATGCGTGGCGCAGTCCAGCCTGTGTGTGACAATTTTCTAAGCGTTCTCGAGGACATGCTGGTGCATGTACTTCAGGGCATCCTCCCAGCATGATTGGTTGGCCTCTTCCATAGTTCCGCCCACATTTCAGCAAACCGGATCAAGTACTGGATCTGGGAATAACAACCTCAAACTGAATTCAGTCTTCTGATATAGAGGAAGATCTATACTTAGGGAGCTTCAAAGACTTAGAAAGTTTTCATTCATTGATGGCAAGGACACAAGAACTTGAGCCATCACCTGCTTACCTCCCAGGATGTGTCTGAGCAGGAAGCAGAATTCGAAGTGCAATTGCTGAGACTCGAACCAGGCACTCTGAGATGGGATGCAGGTGTCCCACGCGGGACCACTGCACCGAACACTCACCCCTGGGGCAGCCTTTGTGTACAGCAACCCCCACCTACATCTTGCTCTGGCCCACGACTTCCCTGTAACTGGTACACTGTTTTTATCTACTGGTGTTGGGAAAGGATCATAAACAGGGAAACATCTTTCATTCCCCTCTTACCAAAGCCTTTTATTCCTCACCCCCAGCCAAGAGAAGAGGTTGATAACATTCAGCCCCCTCGGTGTCTCCTAACAGCACCAAGTACAGGTGGCTGAAGACAGGAATTGCTCCCATTTGGTGGCGCCCCATTCAGCATGCTCACAGTTGAGGCAAGGTCTTTCAGGTGTGTGCAAGGACACAGAGCCCATGTCCTGAGATGGACGGTGGGAGGAGCTGGGATATGGACACACATCCTTAGCCGCTGTGAGTTGGCATCAGCATCGGCAGCACCTCCTCACCCCTCTCATTGCCTCCGCTGAAAATGGGAATTCCAGGGTGGAGAAATGATTGAAGTTAGTCTCACAGTCTTTTTTTTTTTTTTTAATTATTTTATCTGTTTGAAAGGCAGAGTTACAGAGGGATAGAGGGAGGGAGAGACAGAGAAAGAGAGCTAGAGATACAGAGGGAGGGGGCTTTCACCCACTGGTTCACTCCCCAAATGGTTGCAATGGGCCAGACTGAAATTAGAAGCCAAGAGCTTCTCACAGGTCTCCCATGTGGATGCAGGGACCCCATCAGTTAGCCATCATTTGTTGCTTTTCCCAGGCCATTAGCAAGGAGCTGGATCAGAGGTGGAACAGCCAGGACTTGAACTGGTGCCCATAAGGTATGCTGGCATCGCAGGTGGTGGGCTAACCTACTATGCCACAATGCCAGCCCCATTATATTCTTTTTTTTTTTTTTTTAAAAAAGATGTATTTATTTATTTATTTATTTGAAAGGCAGAGAGAGAGAGAGAGATTGATTTTCCATCTGCCGATTCACTACTCAAACGCCCACAATGGCCAAGGCTGGGCCAGGCCAAAGCCAGGAGCCTGGAACTCCATCCGGATCTCCCACATGGATGGCAGGGTCCCAAGGACTTGGGCCATCTTCTGCTGCCTTCCCAAGAACATTAGCAGTGAGTGGATCAGAAGTGGAGCAGCAGCTGGGACTCAAACCGGCGCTCATACAGGACGCTGGCATCACAGGTGGCTGCTTAACCTACTGTGCATAACACCGGCCACGCAGGCCTTCTGTTATGGGGTGTGTGAATCCTGGGTTTATCAGGCCATAAGAAATGGGCAAGTCGCAGGACAAGCCACACTCCCAAGGACCTGGGTTTCATGGTTGGTTAATTGCTGCAGAGAAGTGAACATCCTGGGACTCAGAGGAGATTTGGAGAAGTCAGAAGGGGATGGCGAATGCACGGCCAAGGGAGTCCCTCCCTCGGGTCTCCCCACATCTCCCAGACACGGAGACACAGCACTCGATGCAAGGCGGCTCATTTATTGAGTGTGCAGAGGGAGAGCTTGTGCATGTAGGCTTCCCCTGGGTGTGGCAGACTCAGAAATCCCGACTCGACCTTTGATTGCTGGTGGATCGATGGCAACCAGGGATGTTCCTTCAGCTGCAGCACGCAGGCCTAGTGACGGGAATCAGACCCCAGCACTTGACACAGGAGGCGTGGGCGCGGGGGAGGGAAGAAGCTGGAGCCCAGGCCGGGACGCATGCACTTGGCCCTAAACAGCAGAGGGGAAAGAGGACACAGATGCCTGCTGAGCCGCACTCGGATTGAACCAAGGGTGAAGCAACGTTCTAGTCCAAGGGGCTGACGGACTGGCTCTACGCCTGCACGCTAGCTCAGCCTATTTTCCACAAGACAGGAAGGAATAGCGCCAAGGAAATGATTTTTTTGTTTTTCCTATTGCTTATTCCATTTCAACCTCAGCCCCAACTGAATCTATAAGAGAGAAAGGAATTCCGGGCTGGTTTCTGCCATCTTCAGCCTTAGAAGTTTGGAAGAGTTTCTGATGGGTTGAGGATACTGACAGAAGCCTGGCTATCTTGGGTAACTACTTCCTTCATGCAAGTGGCTAAATGTCCGCGTATTTCATGTGAATGAAGCCCTACGATAAATCTGGGGTAGGAGACAGACGAGGAAGCTCGGAGCAGACAGGGCTGTGCTGGGATGTGACCCGAGGGTGTGCCCAGCCTCAGGGAAGACATTTGTGTCCTACACTGGAGAGTGGGATGGCAGCCTGGCTTTGGGAACACGGATCCCCAACCCAGAGACAGGTGGGCGTTTCGTACTCACACCCTCCTACGTTTTGCATTTTGGGCCTGCAGCCTTGGTTCCGTGTGGCCCAGTACTGGTTCCTGAGCCCTCCTCACCAGCCTGCCGCCCTACAGGACGCTTGTAAGGCAGATCTCACTGTCTTCTCTTCCACTGCTTCCAGGGCTGGGGACCCTTTGCTCCGTCCAGGGCCAGCTGGATGCTTATAGCGTCATTCACCAACCACACAAAATTGTCCGCTTAAAAATCAGCCTGCTGTAGATTGATTGAGTTTCGAGTTGCGCCTGTGATTGCCCCGGCGGGACCAGACCAGACGAGCTCCTGGGCCTTAGATGGCCCTCGGGCCAGAAGGTCCCCACCCTTGGCATTTTGCTCAAAAGCTCATGGAAGGATGGGGTCCTGAGTCCAAATCCCCTAACTCCAAATGTCAAACTACACACTTCTCCCTCCCGCCACTGCCAGCTTCCTTTCAAATTATTTTTTTAAACTTTTTTTCCCCCACAGGTAGAGTGGACAGTGAGAGAGAGAGACAGAGAGAAAGGTCTTCCTTTGCTGTTGGTTCACCCTCCAATGGCTGCCGCGGCCGGCGCGCTGCGGCCAGCGCACCGTGTTGACCCGAAGGCAGGAGTCAGGTGCTTATCCTGGTCTCCCATGGGGTGCAGGGCCCAAGTACTTGGGCCATCCTCCACTGCACTCCCTGGCCACAGCAGAGAGCTGGCCTGGAAGAGGGGCAACCGGGACAGAATCCGGCGCCCCGACCGGGACTAGAACCTGGTGTGCTGGCACCGCTAGGTGGAGGATTAGCCTATTGAGCTGCGGCCCCGGCCTTCAAATTATTTTTACAGTAATCTGAGCCCAAACCCCTACTGCTCTGCAAGGCGCTGGCCCACCCCCTTCCGCTGGGCTCCGAGATCACCAACCTGAAGGCTTAGGCGGCTCCGCCGTCTCTGGCGTAGAGGCAGCGATCTGCGGAGGTGGAACAGAACGTGTTCAGGCACCAACCCGGTGGGTTCCCCAGGAAGGACCCAGGTGATTCCATAGCAGGAGAACAAGGGGGCGGAATGTGGGTGTTGCCTTCCCTTGGGTGGCTCCTTTGGTCCCATGGGAATTCAGAATGCTACAGCCAGACAGCTGAACTTACCGACTTTGGTTAGGTCCAGTATGTTTTCCTCAACAATTCCACGTTCTTGACACAACTGCACAAACTTTTCCCTGATATCCGATCTCACATCCAGTCCTCGGCCTGCGGGATGAGTGACAGTAGTGCTGTGTCTTGTGTGTGAGTCCCGGAGGTGAATGGGGAGATGGGGCTTCAGACGCAAGGGGAAATGAACGGCACCAACTGGGGCTCAGGCAGGGGTCTCAGGGGTGGGACATAAACGTTATCCTGAATTTGACAACGTTGGGATACATTTTTGGCTCAATGCCAGGTTCCATGGTCTTCCCAACACCAAGCCTACAGGCTTACCAAAGGCGAGCACTTGTCTTTCCAGGGGTTGGGGGGAACATCCATGATGAGACCACTCTAAATTCAGGGTTTCTTCCTTCCCCAATCCCCACCCCAAGAAGAGTGGCAGCATGAAAAAACTCTACCGTAGAGCTCCATCAGCTGGAAACTTTCCCCATTGTTGTGATTTATGAGATGGAAAATAATATAGTCATCAGGGACCATGTCAAGGATGCTAAAGACATTGTGTCCATCATCTGTGGAGGGAAGAACACAGCTCAGAACTTCTTTGGTCCATGGGAAGCTATTGAAATCCTTTACCTGTTCTTTCCCCAAAACAAGTTCAAGTGCGTGTTCCGGAAAGGACAGAGAGGGAGGATGGCTAATGCCTCCTCTGTGCATCTCCTAGGCTACACGAGGTGACTTCTATGAAAAAGGATCTGCTAGGTAGACCTCCAATGGTAGAAAAATTTACCCACAGCAGCTCACCCTTGTCTTTCATGAGACCCTCAGCAGCTTTCTCAGGGATGTGTCTCTGACCTCCCTCTAAGTCCTGCTGGCATCACATACCCAGTGCGGCATCCTGAGAACTTAGCCATGGCAGTGACCACCACAAAGACACAGGGAGTGGGAAGCTGTCCTGCCAGTTGGCTGTTTTTCCTGAGAATTCCCTTGCATGGCAGGTGGTAGATAAGACCAAATCACCTTCTTTAACATCTGATGGTTTTATGTGCTGGGCATTGCCTTGTATAGGCAAGTTTCTTCCATACTGAACACACCAGGAATGCTGGCTCATAGATGTCCTGCATTATATGACCTAAATAAGCATTTATCTGAACTTGATAAAGATCTTGAAGATATAGAGCTATAGTAAATTCCTTGTAAATGAAAGTAGGATTTAGGAAGGAATTTGGGGGGGTATACTTACACTCAACAGTATATACATGGTTGTCTTCTGTTGGGTCACATGTTAAAAAAAGTTCAGTACATTTTCCATTTACACTGGAAAACAGAACAAATGGATGCCCAAGAGATATTAATGAGGCTGGTTCCCTCACCTTCTATTCTCGCTCGACTTTCTTATTCTATTTCTGAACATTTTTGGCACAATTATCAAAGAGCTCAGATTGATATTACTTCACTTGGTCTGACATTTGAAGAACTTACACAACTAGTTGATCATTCTAATTGTCCCCACTTATCACTTTACTATTCCTGTAACGTATCCTCTTGCCTGGATTGCTGACTGAGTGTTTGCCACATGCCAATTTCTCAAATGAGTGATTTACAAATATTCCCAGACTTGGTCCTCATAAAAACCCAGAGAGAGAATGTCACCGTCTCCTTTTACCCACGGGAAAATGGAAATGGATGGCCTGAATATTCTTGTTCACATGGCTAGCAGGAGATGATTCAAGCTGAGGCCATTGATTCCATGTGTTGATGCTACCAGCATGTTATTGATGACTTTGACATCCCTCTGCCCTCTGCTTGTCCCACTCTCAATAAATTTATTCCTGTCACCAACTCCTGCCTCTGAATCTTTTCAAAAGCCTGGAGCCCATTGAGTCCTGGATCAATGCCCAATGAGGGACTCTGATTTTGAACCCAGGCTCAGTATATGTGTGGTTACATGTGCACATACGTGTACCTATGTTCACATGTATATACATACACATGCTTGTGTGTGAGTAATACCCAGGCTTCCATTTTTCCCTTCCCAACTCAAGAAGGCCACACTTACGGTGTATGGAACTTAAAGGATAGAGAAGAGTTCTTCCAGACATGAATGTATTCCACAAAAACCCTCATGCTACCGTTTTCTTCTATCTTTTCCCTGTGGTCAGAGGCCAACAGAACAGAATACCACTCTCCTGAAATCTGCAAAGAGGTGAAATGATTGGGTAAGAGAACAGGAGAGGAGATGCCACATGGACACTTCTGTCCTTGAACCCTGAGCCAGGGCTCATAGTGGTGATGGAAGGGTGGGATTAGAACTGCATCCTGTGAGAAGGGAGGTCCCCAGGCACTGTCATCATTTAGTATGGCACAATTGCTCCTAGTCCAATGTCTGAAACCATGCCTTTAGTTTAACAGGTTAAGGACTCCTTGCCTTCCAGTAGAACCCACCTGACTTTGGAATTCTCCAAACCAGGAGTGGGTGTTTGGCGCAACAGTTAAGATGCTGGCTGGGACACCCACATCCGGCTCCCAATCCTAGCTTTCTGCTAATGTGCATCCTGGGAGACCACAGGAAATGGATCCTGAAGGCAGGTCCCTGTCACCCATGTGGAAAACCTGAACTGGGTTCTGGGCTCCAGGCATTAGGCATTGTGGGTGTTTGGGAAGTGAACCAGCAGGTGGGAGTCCTCTGTCTTTCTCTCTCTCTCTCTCGCTCTCTCTCTCTCTTTTTTTTTTTTTTTGGACGGGCAGAGCTGGACAGTGAGAGAGAGAGAGACAGAGAGAAAGGTCTTCCTTCCGTTGGTTCACCCCCCAGATGGCTGCTGTGGCCGGCGCCCTGCGCCGATCCTAAGTCAGGAGCCAGGTGCTTCCTCCTGGTCTCCTATACGGGTGCAGGGCCCAGGCACCTGGGCCATCCTCCACTGCACTCCCAGGCCACAGCAGAGAGCTGGACTGAAAGAGGAGCAACCGGGACAGAATCCGGCGCCTCAACTGGGACTAGAACCCGGGGTACCGGCACCGCAGGTGGAGGATTAGCCAAGTGAGCCACGGCGCCGGCCTGTCTTTCTGTCTCTTAAATAAATAAGGAAAAAAAAAAAAGAAGAAAATGAAGAAGAAAAAGAAGAATGCTTTGAAGCAGCCCCCACAGGCAAGAGTCGCCATCCTCGCCCACTCTACCTGGGACACTTCCGAGTGGCTGTGCGCATCTCCTCGCTTTGGGGCACAGATCAGAATCAGCCCCAGACACAGCCACAACAGCTTCATGTTGGCGGGGGTATGTGGCGCGGGATCTTCCTCGGCTGTCAGGAAGGAGTCTGCCCGGCAGTGGCCTCTCTCCCCAGCTCCCCTGAGTTTATACCCTGTGGCCAGGTTATTTGTCTATGGGGCTCCAGCTTCCCTCCTCCCCTCCAGGAAATGGCCTTTCAGTCTCTGGTGGGAGGCCAAGGATTGTTCCTGCCCTTTTGAAACTTGGCAATCCCCTCCCTTTAATATGTATTTAGTGACCTTCAATTCTGAAACACAGTCTCAGGAAAAAGAGTGGATGGCTGGCAGTGCTGTCATGGGGAACCAGATTTTTAACTGTGGGTCTGGCTTGGAATCAGAAAGCTCAGGGTGTGGGCAAGGCGCGCCGTGCAACTGGGAATGGGAGGGTGTGGGGAATCTCTGTTCCCCCAGCTCATCTGGGGAGTGGAATTGGGTGATTTACGGAATTTGCACAGTCTCCAAGCCCAGCAAACTGTCAGAACCAAAGTACCCACCACAGAGCACTGAGTGACATAACGTCTTCAAATCCAGGTGCCTGCTGTTCAGCGCGTTCTCATTTCTTTTCCTTACTCACGGAACTCAATCAGCGCAGCCTTCCCTGACCCCATAATGAATGGGAAATTGTGTTAATCACTCTGTGTGATTCTGCAACAAGGGCCCATATGAGCACAGAACTGCAAGATATTAACCCTAGCATAGCAAGTAAAGCCGCTGCCTGCATTTCGGCATCCTATATGGGCGACACTTCAGGTCCCGGTTGCTCGATCCAGCTCCTTGCTAATGGCCTGGGGAAAGCAGCGGAAGATGGTCCAAGTGATTGGGCCCTGCACCCACATGGGAGACCTGGAAGAAACTCCTGGCTCCTGAGCCTGACCCAGGCTCAGCTGTGGCAGCCATCTGGGGAGTGAACCAGTAGATGGAAGCTCTCTCTTTGTGCCCCCCCGCCCCAACTCGGACTTTCAAATAAATAAATAAAATTTTTTTTTCTACTTTGGGGCTGATGCTGTGGTATGGTAGGTTAAGCCACTGCCTGCACTGCCAGCATCCCATATGGGCACCAGTTTGAGTCCTGGCTGCTCCACTTCCAGTCCAGCTCCCTGTTAATGCACCTGGGAAAGCAGTGGAGGATGACCCAAGTGCTTGGGCCCCTGCATCCACACGGGAGACCTAGAAGAAGCTCCTGGCTCCTGGCTTCAGACTGGCCCAGCTCCAGTTTTGTTGTGGCCATTTGAGGTGTGAAACAGCAGATAGAAGATCTCTCTGTCTCTCTGCCTCTCCCTCTATCTGTGGAACTCTGTCTTTCAAATAAATAAAAAAAAAGAAAAGATTATATCCTTTCCTTCAAAGAACCTTCCATAGTAAAGGGGGTTATATGGGGGAGGGGGGCATCGTGTAGAAAGTGCTTAAGAGCATAGACTTGGGAGTCATGAAGGCCTGCTCCAATCCTATCTCTGCAATTTTTGAAGCCATGAGAACATATTTTAACCCCCAGGGAGACTTCATTTCCATTTCCGCTTGCAGGGAATAATTACTCCTGCCTAGTAGGATGTAGTAGGGATTCAATGGAATGATGAGCATAAAACTCTCAGCACGGTATCTAGCATGCATGGAACTGCTGGGGCCACAGACGCTTCCTGGAGAAGGCAGGACTTGGGGTGTGTCTGGAGATGAAGGAGGATCCAGCGGTGTGGCGAGTATGTGCGAAGGACACTCCAGGGGAGAAGAAAATGGAGAGACAGGATCTTGTGCTGCCGGCTGGAATGTTCAAAGTTGAGGTCACTCTCGCCTCGTGGCATCTCCCACCCCAAGTCAGAAAGAGGCTGATGCTGTGGGAGGAGCTGGGTATAAGCAATGAGCCTAGGAGCTGCGGCGTTGTGTCTGTGGCCTGCTTACGTAGTTACTCCAGCCCCTGTGTGGTCATCCCCAGTTCGGGCTCAATTGGCATCCGGTCACTGGTGGTTCGAAGTCCATGTACCTTCAGCCTCATAGGCAGATGTGGGTTTGGCTGGCCCTGAGATGGAAGAACCATGCTTGACAAATGGTGCCTGAGGCTGTATACACTGCGTATTTCCTCCACTGCCTCTCTGCAAGAACAGAGGGCAGCCTGCGAACCAGCTAGTGAAGCCCACTCTTCCTAGGTGGTCATGCTGAGCGGACAGTCAGCTGCCACTTGTCCCATCCCACTGCCAGCCCCAACTCCACATTCATCAGGCGGCATATTGTATAACCTTTACTTCTGCTTTTGTTCCCTTTGGGAAAGTTTTCTATCCTAAAAGCAGCAGGGATTCTTAGAAGGAACCTTTTAGAAAACCCTTTTTCATAAATAGGAGGATTGCTTTTGAATAGTGATCTCTTCATTTATATGTTAGGCTGGAGGAGTAGAGAGGCAGCACAGGCCTGAAGTCTATGAGCAGAAGCCTGTGTCTGGATGATCCTATCTTTTATGAACTAACTTGACTGCTCCCCATTCTGAATATCCGTGTCCATTTCAAATCTACTACATTGTGGTGATTGGCTTCAACATTGCCAGGGCAGCTGTACACAGCGAGATAGCCTGTCAAGGCCTCCAAAAAATCCAAGAGGGGTGACTCAATCTAGGGGCTTGGTGAAAGAATCCCCGATGAAACCAAAGCTGAACTGACAACCTTCGATCAGGATTGAGGCTTAGCTTTCTAATGGGACTCCCTCCAACACTACTCCAGTGTTGCTTTTACAAGTTTGTGGACGGAACTGTGGATGAGTAATCTCAAAACACTACCACAGTTATATATGAGTAATACATATTACAGTCAAATGAGCTATTGACTTTTTTTTTTTTAATTTGAGAGGTAGAGTTACAGAGAGAGAGAAAGAGAAAGATCTTTCATCCACTGGTTCACTCCCCAAATATGGTAGCAACGGCTGGAGCTGGGTTGATCCAAAGCCAAAAGCTTCCTCTGGGTCTCCCATGGGGGTGCAGGGGCCCAAGCATTTAGGCCATCTCCCACTGTTTTCCCAGGCGATAAACAACCAGATCAGAAGTGGAGCAGCTGGGACTCGAACTGGTGAGGCTTAGCCTACTGTGCCACAGCACTGGCCCCGGCTATTGACTTTTGTACTGGGGAGGAATTGGAAGAGTTGGAGAGATGGGAGATGGGAGGTGAGGAAGGAAAAAAAAAGTCTCTGATGTTAACATCTCCCAGATGATAATGTAAGTACTTGGAACGAACACTCAATTTATGAAAGTTCACTTATCCAATTATCTACAGGGAATACATCTGATGTATAAGGCAAACTACACAGGTATCCACAATATTTGACTGTAGAGTAATTCAGTCTGTGGTATTGCAATTTGTTTCAGGTCTACTACATAGATTTTTTTTTAAAAATATTATTTGAATTAGTTCAACTATAGTTGTGATATGCTTATTCTACACTTGGCTTATAGTAGGCATTTTGTAGGCTGCAGAAATAAATAATATGGTGACTGTGCCCTAGTAAACTCCTGGCCAGTGTTGAGGGAAATAAAGTAGAAAGTAAAATAAAGAATTGTGTAGAAAAACAGAGGAGTTTATAGTAGCAAAGAAGAGGAATCAAAGGAGAAAGAAGAACATGTAATTTGACCACCTAATTCCAGGTATGGAGCTGGAAGAAGTTTTTCCTAAGGAATGCAAATTCACAGGTGACAGCGGACAGAAGCACGCTCTAACGGTCTCTGGTCCTCTCCTGGCCCGGGGAAGGGCAATGGGGGTCTCCCAGGAGGAAAGTCTGTCCTCTGGCAGGAAGCAGGAGGTGAGTTGACTCGATCTGCCAGCCCATGGGTCCAGGGACGTGGTTCCCTTTTCTGTGGGGAGAACCAGCCCTGTGCTGAGTGAGGCTCAGTAGCTACAATAGTAGCAGGCAAAGTCTGTGTCCACCCTGTCATTTGTCACCACCCTAGACAGCTGGCTGTCAGA